GTCTCCAATTTGTCCCCATTCTTTCTGTAGTGGAGGACCCAAAACTGAACACAATACTCCAGATGTGGTGTTACCAGTGCTGAATAGAGGGGAAGAATCGCTTCCCTTGACCTGCTGGCAGCACTTCTACCCATGAAGCCCAGTATGCCATTAGCCTTTTTGGTAACAAGGGCATACTGTTGACTTTTGAAGAGAGGCTCAGGGGACTGGATTTATTTAGTTTGGAGAAGAGAAGACTGGAGAGGGGAGATCCAAAGAGGATGGATCTAGACTGTTCTCAGTGGTGACAGATGAAAGAACAAGGAACCAATGGTCTCGCACTGCAGCCAGGGAAGTTTAGGTTAGATATAAGAGAAAAATTTCTCACAAGGAAGGTAGTAAAGTGCTGGAACAGATTGCCCAGAGAGGTTGTGGACTCTTCATCCTTGAAGTTTTTTAAAACCTGGGTAGACAAAGCCTGGGTTGTGATGATCTAGTTGGGGATGGTCCTGTTTTGAGCAGGGGGTTAGATTAGATGACCTCCCGAGGTCTCTTCCAACCCTAATTTTCTGTTATTCATAGATGTAGGGTCGGAAGAGACCTTGCAGATCTTCTAGTCTGACCCCCTGCCCTGGACAGGAGAGAACTAGGCTCAAATGATCCCAGCTAAGTAATCATCAAGCCTCCTCTTAAATACCCCCAAGGTAGGAGCCAGCACCACTTCCCTTGGAAGTTGTTTCCAGATCCTAGCTGCCCTAGGTGTGAAGTTGTGCCTTCTAATGTCTAGCCTGCACCTACTCTCTCTAACAACTTATGGCTGTTATTCCTTGTTACTCTGGGAGGTGCTCAGGGGAACAAGGTCTCTCCCATTCCCCGCTGGCCCCCCCCCCCTAGTAAGTTTATGGATGGCCCCCAGGTCCCCTCAGCCTTCTCTTGTGAAGGCTGAACAGATTAAGGTCCCGTAGCCTCTCCTCGTAGGGTCTGCCCTGCTGTCCCCGGATAATGCGAGTTATTATTCAATAATACTCTTGATGTCCCAGCTGCATAATCTCATATATTTCTTAAAACCAATGTTTGATGATCATATGCTTCAGACTTGGCAAATTAATGGGCTTTAGGTCATGACATGCCCTTGAATCAATAAAGTCATCATTGTTGCTTGTTTAGCCTGTGTAACATAAGAGAGAATTATTTATGATGTGAGACTAATTGGCAAAGGCCATGGTAATGCAGACAGAGTTCTGGGTGGGCAGTATAAACTGAGTTAATGACTGTTAATTGCTCTTCTCTAGGGCCCAAAAACATTTAGAGACTGGTTTCCAGAGTTTCAGAACTTGCAGTTCATGCTGTCAGTGGCATATAGGTCTAAGTGTGCTGTCCTATTCTGTGTATTCAGCCAGTTATTTGATAAGTTTTACATTTGTAGGGTTATAAAATATTCAGCATTGCACTCTGTGAGGCTTTGAGAAACTTAACAGGATGCTGTCACAATTCAAATGTGACTTTGAAGTTGAAGCAGTTTTAAACTCTCTGCCTGATGGATTCTATCCAACCTTTTTGTTTGTTCTTTTTTTTTTTTTTTTTTTTTTTTTTTTTTTTTTTCTTAATGCAGTCGTCACTGAGAAATGTGGGAAACAAATAGCTGACGGGAACCTGACCTTGCAAACAGAATTGCATGGAACAAATTCATGAATTTTGGGGCCCTGTTGTGGGGTCTACCTATGCACTTGAGCACAAGAGCAGGGCCTCCTTTTTTTGGGTCCTACAAAAATATGCTTTGCTTAGTCCTCATGTTGGCTTGCCCTTGGGAGGACAAGGGAAATTGTATTGCTCTGTGTGGTTCATCACGGTAGTAAATGCAGCATTGTGGTGGGAAGTGCATGGCACTGAGATCAAGATAAATAGATTCAAAACAGCATCTTGAAAGTATCAATGCCTATATATAGATTAGGAGGGAAATATTTGGTGGGAAAGGCACTGACATAGGACTGAATCTATATTTAACTTGAGAGAGAGAGCCTTGTCCCACTTGGAATGCAGCAATATTCATTTGTGGCTGTATTAATGACTCAGGAGAAATATGGAGGTCTAACCAGCTGCAGTGTCACTGGTTCTGGTAAGGGTTGATTGTTTGGTTCCCTAGTTCCTGAGTCTGAAAAAAAATCAGTTATTTTAAACTCAAGTGGGGGGTGGAGAGGGGGAAGGAGGACTGGCAATTTTGGCCATCTCCAATTTTGAGATGGCTAACTTGAGACCTTTTAAAAGAGGTCTGTCTTTCAGAGGGAGCTAGCCATGTGCCATCTAAAGATTTATTTATTTTTAAGGCACCTTAATTTGGACGTATAATTGCTAGTAGTATTGGCAAATCTTGACTTCTTAGTGGATTTGCATACCATTGGGCCCTGATCCTGCAATTGCATAGCCATATTTTTGACTTTGTGTACAAGTCATCCCACTGAAGTTGGTGGGCTTACTCCCTTGCTTATGGTCAGACAGGTGAGTAAGCATTTACTAGTCTGAGGTCTTCATTTCTGTGTGGACAAGCAGCCTGGCAGCTAGGTTAAATTATCCATGGGTTTTGCAAACACATGCTCCAAGAACTCTGAATTCTGTTTCTTGTCTGTTCGGGTTTCCTTGCCTTAACAATGATTGACTGGAAAAATGTGCTGCTATTTTCCAAAAGGTGCTAGTTAAAAACCCCCAAAACTTTTCCTAGTTAGGGCAGTTACAGTGATGCAGCTGTGTTTCCTGAGGGGGAAGGTGGGTGTGATATTTGCAACGCCTGTGTAGACCTTGGCTCTTGAGGGTAATCCTTAAGTGCCAGTGAGCCTGTTCTGTGTTACAGGGAGTAGGCAGGGGGGAGGCGGCCAAAAAAGATTTTTTCCTAAATTTTCCACAGGTGGCAGCCCTTGTGCCACAGCTACTGCAGCTTTCCTAGTGCTTTTGAGGCTCTGCAGCATGAAGTAGGCATTCCTGCTTCTTCTCCCTGCCTGTGCATCCTCAAAGCTTATGCATATTGCTACCAGTTGGACTCTCAGGGCACTTAGTCATAGAAGTACAAGAGCTTGGTGGCACTGTTGCATGATGAGGTGCTGCAGTGTACGTGCCCTGAGCAGACGCATCCTAGCAGCTTTCTGTTTCGGTGGCCTGCTGCTTCTTTTCCCCTCTCGACTAAAAGAGTCATGCCTGGAGAGGGTGCGGCCTGTTCCCAGGGAGACTGAAATACACACACCCACCCACCCCCCTCCCAGCCACCTGCAAACCAGTAACTCTGCCCTGTGCAACAAATTAGTTGGCAATGTAGCCCACCAGAAGGCTTGTATACAGCCAAGTTGACTCTGTGGATGCCATAAGGAAGAGGAGGAAGCAGTGTCTCTCTCTCTCTTTCCCCCCCCCCCCCCCCGAACCGGTGTAACCTGCTTCCAGTCACCTGTTTTCCCCCAACTACCTTTGGATGCTGTTATGGCAGTCTCCCAAAAAGAATAGTTTTTCTTGCCCTTCTCCCTTCAGGTATCTGAGATCAGTGACTTGAGAACAGTAAGCCAGGCAGAAAAGTGTACTTGCCTTGCTGAGTTAATATCTGATATTTTAGCTATGTTAGCACATTCTGTATTTACAGGGGAATAAATCTGATAGCATAGATCTGTGATTGGAGGTCTGGCCATCCCATGATAACTATAATGGAATATAGATTTCTTATTTTTGTGTGTAGTCTGGTACAATTGTCCAATGAAGTCAAACTGGGTAAACAGTAACACCTGCAAAGATGCACGTGTGTGTGTGTGTGCACGCGACTCCCTTCCTACTCTGTCGCTCCTGGTAAAAACAATGGGAAAGTTCACATTGACTTTCAATGGAGCACAGTTAGGAAAACTCTGGCCAGGATTTTAAAACTTATGACCAGAACTTAAAGTGATTTGTGGGAATAACACCTGTTTTGAGATGCAGTGAATTGGTTGTCTGCTATTTTGGGGGCTCAATTCTGAATGTCAGACAGTTCCCAAACAAGGGGTTCAAGCACATACGGTTAGGGGCATGAACACCTTGGAAAGTTGCGTGGTCATGAACCTAGTAGTGATGAACCTAGTCATCTGCTTGAAAAGATTGAGAATGGCCAATCCAGTCCTTTTAGAATTTCTTCTGGAAAATGGCCTTTGTGCTCTTATTTATCTTCCGTTTCCCAAGATACTCACGTGAAGTGGTTCTGCAGTGTTGATGTACCTGCTGTGGAATGCTTCTAATGATACATTTCTTTCTACAACACTAGACCACAATGTTTGGTTTGAGACAGTGGACAGCAGACCTATGAAGGCTGTAGCAATAGTTTAGACTGTTTTTAATGCAGGATACCATGCTATTTCAAGGACACCAGAGAGATCTTCCCACACTGCATCACTTCTCGAAGGAGTAAACAATAGCTCTTTAAGTTTTAAACATGTATTTATTTTTTTTAAAGAGGAGCGTGTGCAGTTTCTTGCTTTTGCCTTGGTAGGCTGGAGATTGCTGCAAGGACAATCTTGCCAAAGTGTTGCAGGGGCAGGCATGGGAAGGCTTAAAGCAGTGATGAAGATACGCTTGCTGGAGTGAGTCTGGTGCCCCCTTTCCCCTGACTTCATGACTGGGTCTCTCTGGCATTGCTGTAGCATGCTGCCCTAGTCTACCTATAGACTGAGTTGCTGCCTGTTGCTGGAGTCCATCTAGTTGCAGCTGCATAACCAAGGCATTGCTCTTTCCAAACAGCACAGTAAGAGACTCTCTTAAAAGTTGGGGGGTTTTTTAGTCCAAACCAGTAGTTACTTTCCTGTTAGCCCTGGGCATTTTAGTGCTCTTGTACTGTTTCAGAGGGGGCTCACAGGGAGCACTCATCAGCTGTGGGCCCTGGTGACTTTTGCTTCAAGCTCTGCCTCACTCCAAAAGCTAGTGGAGGTGACACTCAGGGAAGTACTGGAACCTGTCCTGTTTCTCTGGGTTTGCTACAAACTCCTAAGCTCTGGATGGCTGCATTTACTAATGTACAGGCCATGCCCTGCTGCCAGCACTGGAAGGGCCTTTGTGTAACCTGTGATCTGTTTTTCCTTGAAGGTCTTGCAGTCTTCAGCAGTGTGGGTGCTGATGGGAATGCAACTGCCACCAGTGAAACAAAGAGGCTGTTCTGTAGCACACCAGAGAACTGTACAGGTAATATAACACTCCAACCAGAGGCTGAGGCACCTTGATATTGGTGCATGGGTCACACTGACAATGGTTGCTGGTGTTTTTAATATCAGCTCTAAGAGTTGCTTCTGACAGTGCTGCCCACTGGCTTCCAGGGATAGAGACACCTTGGAGGTGGGGAGGGATTGATTGTGCACCCATGTTTTTGTTTCTTTTCTTGCTTCCTCCACCATACACACCTTTAGTCTTTGCAGTTTGTAGCAGAAAATGAATGTGAGGAAACTGCTAGCTGCCTTGAGAGTGTGTCCTGAGCCAAACTATAGTAGAACATTGAGCTGAGTGGGACTAATCATTCTACAGTTATGGAAATGCGCAGTTGATTGGTAACCTCCCCAAAGGTGTGTGAAAGTATCAGATGACATAAAAACCGTGCACCTTTAAAATACTGTATTTGAATTTTAGTGACTTTCTCTGGAAGAACAAGGGGGGTAGTTACCACCCAGAAGAATAATACAAGATTGCTTTATAACAGGATTGGCATTTACTCCCTCCATTCCCACTTGGCTTCCTAGCTATTTGGGACAAAATTACCAGGTGAAATTAACCTAGGTCTTTCCAGTGCTGCATTGGTGGTGGTGGTGCTGCTGCTGTTGGAGATCGTTTGCTTTGTTTTGCTTGGAACAGAAGAGAGGGATTAAGAGGGGTATCATTGCTCACAAACTGGCTGACTGTCAGAAGCTGAACACTTGCAGGCAGTGCTTGTGGCAGCCAGGTGACAAAGTGGCAGCCACTTTGCACAAAAAGCAGCAGTGCAGCAAAAATTGGATACAGTTACAAGAAAGGAAGTGGGGATATTTTTCCTGCTTTTTAAAGGCCACACTTGCATTTAACATATTGGTAGAGGTAGGAGAAGAATTTAAAATACACCCCCCCCCCCCCACACCACA